GCCGGGCACCATCTAGCTGTACTGGACTCAGTCCGGTGAAGGTCTTGGTAGCTGTGGACAATTAGTCCTTTGGACTAATCTATTCGTTGTATCCTGTTCTCTTCATTCTCACTTGCTCCTGAAGAGATGAGACCAGTGGAGTATCTTAGATGGCCGCTCACAGGCTTTTAAGACCCCAGACACTACTCACCAAGGTAGATCATGACCTATTTTTAATTTACATTTTTCCTTGATTCTGGCTTCTTTTTTCTTATTTTGCCATTTTTATTGTATATTCCTACTGTCAGATGCCTCAAATGCTTTGTAAATTAAGGCAATTGCAGTAAGCTTCGGCCTTGGCTTTTTACAATCCACTGATTAAAACCCTTTGAGTTTCGTTATGGAACAAATTCAACACAGGCCCTTCACTCTAACATTTAAAGACAGTTTCATCTAGCCAAGCTGTGCAGTCTCATGCCCCACTACTCCATATTCCATATGTGCTCCATGTACTGGCTCCCGCAAAGGGCTTGCTCTTTCCAAAGCATGCTCAGCTCTTTCCCACCTCTTTACCTTTGCTGACTTTGCTTCTTCCATTGAGAATGACCTTTCTTTTCCAACTTCTGTCAAAGAAGTCTTCATCCCTCAAGGGCTATCTGGAAAACTCTTAGCTTTCGCTTTGCGGGAAGCAACAATCTCCATGCTTTTCTCCTAAAAGAACAGAGAGAGAAGTCCAGAGCACTGTCAGGTATCCAGTTCCATCTTCTTCATGTAGTTTTTCCTTTTTTATGAATTAGATGTAACTGGACCTTCCTTTGAACCGTCTATGAGATCTTGTGTCTCTTTTATGATGCTTAACATATGTCTTATAGTATTACTTATTTGTATACTGTCTGTCTCACTTAATAGATTGTAAACTTCTTGTGGGCAGGAATTTGTCTTAGTCATCTTTGTATCTCTGATAGTGTCTGGCCCAGAATTTTGTGTATCATGGAGTACTAAATAGTTTATGTATTGAAGGTTACATTTTGTGACGGTTGCAGCTCAAAATGGAAACTAAAATTCTTAAGAGTTTTTCTTTAGTTCATCCCTTTACTCTCCTCATCACTTTACTTATCCATAGACCACTTTTTTGCTTTTATTTTAGCCTAAATAGGAAGATCCTTTATTACTACCAGCTTTCACAAATACAGTGTTTTATTGACATAAAATCTCACAAATACTGTTGACTGTAAATCAGGTATTCTTGAGGAAATTATGTGAAATTAATAAGTGAAGTTATTAAAATTATTGCATTTACTGATTGAAAATTTCGAAAATTTGTTAGTGTAAAGATACAGAACTGTATATAAAATATGCCACCATTTGGGTAGAAAAGGAAGGAAAAAGGAGTATGTCTGCATACTTGCCTGCATGTATATAAAATATTCCTGGAAGGTTACATAGGAAAACTAGTAACATGCGTGCTTTAGGGGAAGGGAGCTGGTGACCAGGGGGGTAGGGTGGGAGGAAGACTGTCAAGGAGACTTGAACCATGTGTATTAGCTGTTAAAAATAAATGAAACGAAAACTAAAGCTTAAAATTGTAACATACTTGTAATTTAATTACTGATTTTACTATGAAGCTAGATGCATAGCTGCAACAGGTAACCCTGAGATGTATAAATGTCAATCTCTGTGTTTCCCTCAATTTATACAGGTGTCTTTAACACATCTGGTGGAAGTCACTCAGGTCAGAATTCAAGTACCCTTAATGGTGGAGATGTCATCAATCTTAGACCCAACAAACAGAGGACCAAGAAAAACAGAAATCCTTTTAGCAGCTGTAGCATACCCTAAAACATTTTTAGGGGGAAAAATTGAATTATATTGTGCAATTCAGTGAGAAATACATCCAGCTGTCATGGTATGTTGTGACTATTTTAGCAGACTTTGCACCCAGTGGCTCTCTGAAAGTTGGTAGACTTAATTATTACTCTTGCAGTGCTTTTCAGAGTGTAGAGTGAGACCTCTGGTGGAAAAATCACTGCCCTGTGGACTCATTTTAAGTTTTTTCATTAGACGAAGCTTCTCCTGTTTTGAAGAATGCTATAAGAGATGTGAAAAACAGGTTTTGCTGAATTTTGTAATGCTGGAAAACATAAATGAAATATATTGGTACAAATCTTAATTTTATGGATCAAGGAAAGGTAACGAGCATTCTTTTTCTGAAATTGACTCTCTAGCTTTTCTGGAAAATAGTATTGAATCTGAATACTTACTAAAAAAAAATATTGAAAGGTAAACCCTAAATCTTGCCAAATTGCATTAGTGTGTATTTTGGCAATGTTACTTGTGCAATATCTGGTATAATGCAGAGTGTGGAGGTGTGCGTGCAGGTTTCTGGTACTGAAGCAGACTGAAGGTGTGGGCAGTATTTAAGGAAACTTAGATTCCAATTCATTTGTAAAACTATTAACACATTGTGTGTATGTTAAAAGTTTTTATTTTCAAATGAGAAATTCCAGACATATAGTTTGCAAGATGAGCTTGGGTTTAAAAAGTGTTTTGTGCCAAAAATATCATACTTAATTTTTATAGTGCTTTACTATCATAATTTATATTGTTTATAATATCTTTTAAAAGCAGTTTTCCTCTCTGACAGGGTAAAGGGGAGTATAAACTTTTTAATGCTAGAGCATCTCCCAGGTGAGATCGTTGCAGACTCTGAGCTGGCCTTTTCATACATCTGTCCGTAAGGTGGTGACCACGTACTGTCGCAGGGTTCGCCAGGTCTCTAAGGACGCACAGCACCTCTGCGGTTACTCACTATGTCCCGTGAAGTGCAGTTGGTGCAGTCCGCACCTTTTGCTGCTGAGAATCCAATTTCGAGCTTTAAAAATTAACGCTAACAATTTTTAAAAATGCACAAGAGATGGATGGTCTTTTGTCCTAATCCAAATTATGAATTTTATAATGCCCTGCAACTCTAAAGCATCCCTTTGTTTACACTTTTTTGTACGATATTTTCAGAATATCACTTAAAAATTTCTATAACCTTGAGTTTTTATAGCCCTTTCTCAAGAGCTCTGTCAGCGCCACATACAAAATAATTTCTTGTAAGAAATGATTTTAATACGTAATCATGTGTCGGAGCATAAATTTTGTGACTTGGGACAGTAGCTTTCCAAACAAGATAATTGTATCAATGGCTTTGTTTTTAAACTATAAACAACCCCTTTCAGTATACCTGGTTTCCGCAGGTTTTCAAAATACAGAAAAAGAACTTTTCTTGGAAAATATGTGTCATGAAATAACTTGTCATTATCTCTGCTAAATATGTAATGTTTTATGTATTCATCTTGTATGTTTTGTCTTGTTTTTAAGTCTTCCATCTGCACCACCCTCATCCCCCTGCCAAAATTAATGCTGAGAACATAGAAGAATTTTCTGGGGCATCCTTGTTAAGTGTTCAAGAGTGAATGTTTGCTTTTCATAATATTAAAATAATCTGGCATTATCTATTTCAAAGTAATGTAAAGTGTTTATTTTTGTGTCCCCAGTTGTCACCTCTCCCATTGCTGGCAGTGGGATAGGTGCCAGGAAAAACTCAGTTCCTAACAATGGGTACCTGCTAGTGATTCATCTTTCCTTTTCTGCTCTTTTGAAATACAGTCTCTTTTTAATTGTTACACAGAATACATTTTGTGGCCAATAGTCTTATGGTCTTTATTAGCAGAACAGTCACTCACGTTATGTAATATGTTGTAGTTCTATATCATGTAGCAGTTAAATGTGTGTGGGTAAAAGTTTGTTACTTTTCTATATAAAAAAAATGTAGTGTCTGATGATGGTTCCAGTTAGTTCTCCTAATGTTTGTAATATGATTTTATGTATTTAACTTTGTCCTTTTTTTCTTTGTACAAGAACTGAAGAGACCTCTGTTACACATTGGAATTTTTCATTTGCACTGCTGTATTTTAAACCACCCATAATTACTCATTTTAAACAATTAAGTAGGTCAGAAAATTGGCCGTAAGTGATATTGTTAAATAATTTCTTAATTTATTCTGAAACCGTCGAAATTGACATTAAAATTTTTTTCTCTGAGACCCTTAGTTCTTTTAAATAACTTTATTATTAATTCCTAGTGAAATATGGATTCTAAAGAAAAGCCTATCTGAGAGTCCAGATTATTGTTCATTTGTGCTCTAATCTACTTTTTTACATTATGGCTAATTTTTAGCATACAGATATATAGCTGTGGAATAGCTACCATATATCAGAGTTCCTCAGGTTTCCTTTTCCTTGTTCAATCTCTGCCTGTCAAATTAAATAGCATACAGAACAGCCCAGATACGGCAATACTGTTAAATAAAATCAGGTTAAATGGTTTCCTTTTTATCTGCCCAAAGTTGCTAGCACGCATATACTTTTTCAAAATAAAGTAAAACTAATACTGTACTACCAAAAAGAGGATAACAACATTTCCACACTGGGGAATGAAGCTGGAAGGTTATTTCAGAAGTTGGCAGTGCAGTGCTCAGAAAGCACTCTCACCGATGCGTACTCCATTGTGCCTGTGACAACTCAGAGACTGGGATCTTTTCTGAAGATCTTAGAATGGTGAATTGGCCTTAGGACTTAATGTCCCAACTTTAAGTGTTGTACTGCTTTAATGCAAGATATTGTTAATTGTTAGCATCCTTTTCAAAATCTTTGAAATGGTTACTGATTGCCTGCTGAAATGCTGCCATTAATATGTCATTAGGATACCTGTTTCTCTGAAAGCCGAATGAACCGACAGGGTGAAAACGTTCTGTGGCTGGTCACACACTGCACACTCATCTAATGACCAGGTAGATGTATAGTCAGCTTGAACTGTTAGTTAAGAATGTCATGTGTACTATTATCACTCTAGGTTTTCACCTCTAACACATGTAAGCCTGTCAAACAAGTGAATTTTATTTGCTGACAGAAGATACTCAGAACCACAGTGGACTGTGAAATATCCAGTCACCGGATGATTTGGCTATAATAACTTTTATTAGGTAGTGCCCCTTTTCTTCTCTCTCTTGAATTGTCTATAGTAGGATGTTGGTAAATGGTCTTTTAAAAATAAAAACTTTGGATTAAAAGGAAAACTGAACCCCTTCTATATTTTTGTTACTATTAAATAATGTTTTTGTAAATTTGAATGGAAAACCAATTGTATATATTGCTATTAGGTTGCAATTATGCCCTCAAACTTAAAGTATACTACTTGATAAACATTTCATGAAAGATAAATTCCAACAATAAAAAAAAATGCATTTCAAAGCTAAAATTTTGTCTGATATATGTGATGTGTATCACCAGTATTGAACAAAATAGTAAAAGGTATAATGCTATGTCTTTAAAAATCAAAACAAAGAATATTTCATATTTCAGATAACAAATCAGTTGCTGTCAGGTTGACTCTTAACTCATGGTGGTCTTGCGTGTGTCAAGGTAGAATGTACTCCATAGAGTTTTCGGATACTCTGCCAATATATGGCATACTTACTTTACTGATAGAAAAAACAAACCCATTGCTCTCGAGTTGATTCTGACCCATAGCAACCCTATAGGAAAGGGTAGAACCACCCCATAGGGTTTCCAAGGAGTGGCTGGTGGATTTGAACTACTGACCTTTTGGTTAGCAGCCGAGCTTTTAACCACTGTGCCACCAGGGCTTCATTTTACTGATAGTGGATATTTAATGAACTTAGTATCACTGGTTTATATAATTTTGTCTTGGAAACAAAATTCCCTTAATAATTTTGTTAATCTGTTTTAAAGAAAAGTTGTTTTAGTCTTGTCTGGAGGCTTTTGGCCCTCAAATAACACGTACACTTTAACCTGTGGTTATTTATTTAACAAGTGTGTTCTAGGTGTCAGGCCCTGGGCTAAGTACCTTGCACGCCATACCTCATTGAAACCTGTAACTCATGGGAACACAGTTATCCCGATTTCACAGTCGGGGTGGACAGGGACTTAGAGAGGTTAAGTGACTTTCCCTGGGGCTCTCTGCTGGTAAGAGGTGGGGCTGGGAGCTCGCCCTGGTCTTCCTGCAGCAGTGCTTAACTAACGGGCAGTATTGTGCCTCCTCATTTTGTTCTGTTTTGTCCCACGACTGGTACCAATCTTCAGACCTCTGAGGTCTAATGATGACATTCGGAAATGTATTTATAATACTCCCTGGATCCAAATGCCAGGTCAGTTTTCCAGTGCCAGGGTTTGCAGGCTTTTCTGACACCCTTTGTCAAACTCTTTGACAAACTGCCCACCTCAACCTGTTCTGGTCACCTGTGGAATATTTCATATTAAAGGAGGACTAGTTACTGAAATTGGCCCTCACCAAACCTGTGTGTGAACGCCACAGTGATTCGAGCTGATGCAAGGAAACTGTGTTTGCTACAATGTATAGTGGTTTGAGGTAAATAATGAACACTTGGGTGGTCCAGTTCAAGTTGTTTATTCAGGTTGTTTACTCTTAGTTCACGATTTAAAACTCAAGAACGTGAGCAGAAGGTCTTCACAATTGTTGCCTCTCAATTAGAGAGTGGCTAAGCTCAAGCTCACTGGCATCTTGTTGCTTTTTTCAAGATTTTCAGCTCTTTTACTTTGTCCTTGAATAACTGTAAAATCCACCCTTCAAAAACTTCACATACATGTTCTGCAAATGTATCAGCGTTTATCACAATCAGTCATTCAAAAGGAACAGATGTTTCCTAATTAAAATTATTGCTTATCATTTATAGTTTGCTAAATCCTTACTCTGCTGATTTCAGCAGCTGTTAAATTCTTTCATCCTTTCCAATTTTAAAATGTTGCAGCAGAGTTCTCCAATTAGTTGATCACCTCTTTAGGGTGAATTGTAGGCATTTTGAGTGCTAGAGCTCAGTCAATATGAAGGACCATGCCTGCGCTCGTTGCTGTGTCCCTGTGCATTAGCTCACTTGGCTAATGTTTTATTAAAGGAGGACGCCATTCCCATAGAATACACTGTGAATGGTGCCCCTTGCAGGATGCAGCACTGGGCCTGGGAGGGGCACTAGAGGCCACCAGTTCACATTCCTTACTGTAGCTCTCCCCTTTCCACCCTTTGACAGCTTTAGAGTTCTTTTTTAAATGTCAGGGGTCTCTAAACTACCAGAAAGGTCAAGTCTGTATTTGTCTGACTTTTAACTGGGCAGGATTTTCACTCTGTTGATGAATACTGAGAACCCTTCTGTCAACTCCCCTGTAGGTCCTGCTGTTTGTCACACTGCAGGGGGCCCATCCCTAAAGCAGAAGGCAAGAAGCAGGCTTCAGGGAGAAGCGCCAGGGGACGGATGGCAGAAGGGCTTTCCTAAAATTGTATGTTACATGCTAGTAATGATCAGAGACTGAAATAGGGCTGTTAGGGAATATATCAACATAGGACAAAACATATACTCTAAAGTCGCTATAGTCTAAATTGGACTATTTTCTAAATAAAAAATAGTTTAAGTGATGGTAAAAATGTGACTCTAGTCATCTGAAAATAAATTATACCTCCATTCTTATCAATAAAATATATGTTAAGAGTCAACACATTGGAGCCCTTGCCCCCTTAGATGTAGCTCAAGCTGGAGGTACTGAGAGCTGGAGACCCAACAGACCACCGACCCCAATCAGTTTGGAGATGGTAGGTGAGAGCTCTTCAAGTCTGTGACAAGAACGGCTTCCAGTAAAGCTCCATTGCAAAACATGGGAAAGAAACAGAATGAGGAAAATACAGAGGCCAGGGAGGCAGGCACAGCTGGAAAAATTGGTGGTGGGAAAAGTCCGAGACCAACATGGGATAATGGGAAAGGGAGTTGTTTTTTTTTTTTTTTTGGTAGTTTATGAGAAAGCTTACAATTCAAGTCAGTCTCTCATACAAAAATTTATACATACATTGTTATGTGACCCTAATTGCTCTCCCTACGCTGTGACAGCACACTCTTTTCCACCCCTGATTTCCTGCGTCCGTTCAATCAGCTCCTAACCATCTCTGCCTTCTCATCTTACCTCCGGACAGAAGCTGCCCATTTAGTTTCGTGTATCTACTTGAGCTAAGAAGCACACTCGTCACAAGTATCATTTTATGTCCTACAGTCCAGTCCAATCTTCGTCTGAAGAGTTGGCCTTGGGAATTGTTTTAGTTCGGGGTTGACAGAGAGTCTGGGGGCCATGCTCTCCTGGATTCCTCCAGAAAAGGGGAGTATTTCTGAGTGGAAGAGATTTTCAGATACTGACAATACTTGGGAACTTGAGGAAGATGGCAGAATGTCCATTTCTTAATTTTCAAAAAAAAAAGCTGATAAAAAGATGGCAAAGAAGAAAATCTTTCTCTGACAGTGAACCTCAAGACAGCCTAGCAGAGAGTCAGCTGACCAAGAGGCTTTGCCACAGATAGCACTAAGGAGTAATGTTTCCCATGAAGTGGAAAGATTTAAATGAGGTAGAGTTGGTAGTGGCAAATGAAACAACCATGAATGTCCTTGGATTGGAATTTCTTTTTATGGAGAGACTTGGCATTTTTGTTCCTAAGATGAAGCTCTATATAATTGTTATATAAATCTAGATCTTGAATTTTTTTCAGTGTGAAGAATACTTCTGTTCTAATGAAACTTGAGTTTGATGTATTCACTTTGAAGTAGTATTTGGGGAAATTGTTGGGATTTTTATGTGTCAATAGCACTGCTTACTTTGACAAAAGTGTTCTCTAGTTGCTTCATTTATCACAGATAAGAATATATTGGTCAACTTTGTTAGTAAATCACAAATTAAAATAAGGTGTTTTATATCTACTATTAGAAAAAATTTAATGCTCAGTGCTGGACAGATTTCAGTGAAACAGTTACATGTTAATTACTAAACACTATAACTTGATATAACTCTTATACAAAGAAATTAGGAAATAGGTTTCAGGCCATGAAAATGTACATACCTTTTGACTTAGTAAATCCCACTGCTGGGAATTTATACAAAGAAAACAAAAAACAAAAGAAGGAAAAGCTCTACGCACATAAAGCTGTTGCAGTAGTAACAAACTAGGAAACCACCTAAATAACTACTTAGAGGGGCATGGGCAAGTGAATAATGGTACAACTGCACAGAATATCTAGTTTTTTAAGTTGACAATTAGCAGACTTTACAGCAGTACTTAGCTAAAAAAAAAAAAAAGGCAAGTTACAACACTGCATTTTTGTGATGATTAAAATTTTATAGAAATGTATTTGAAAAAAGGTGAGGTGAATATATAACTGTACACAGTGGTAAAATTATACTTGATTTTTCTCACACATTTTATAAATTATTCATAAAATATAAATACATTCATATGAGATGCATAAATCTTTAAGTTGAAAAAAATTTGATACAGATGCCTCCAAAATCTTTGTTGACTGAAAGAGAGGACGTAAGGAAAGAATCTTGTTTTGCAATTCCTTGTATCCTGTAAGCCCAGTGCTTAATAGTAGGTGTGCAATAAGTGTGTGCTGCTGCGTAATGTAGAGAACTAGTTGATTAAATGCCCCACGTGCCCATTTGTTTCCATACCAGACAAAGCCCAGGAAAGAGCTGCCTCTAGCTGAGCACTTATTTTTCCCCACATACTATGTATTCATCCACAGGACAGTAAAAAATGTATATATAGTAGGTGCTAGATCCTAGTATAAGACAAGAATTCATTCTAAAAACTAGATAGGTAATCAAAATACTTCTAGTTTTAATTGTGTTATTTGCAAAACTGATGACACTGAAATATTTTCCTCATCTGAAACAACATTCGGTATCAAACAAGTGGTAATGCCTAACAAAGAACTAAGTATCACATAAAATAGTATTTTATCATTTTCACAACATTATTTGTAAGTACTTGTAGGTTTCAAAACTAGTTAAATCCGCTTTCAGTGTTTTGTTGCAGAGTTTTGGAACCAGCTCCTTTAGAATGCTCTAGCAGCTTGATGGCCTTGTCCGAGTTTTCAATATTTCTAAGCAGAGTCTCTAATCTTCTCTTAATTTTCTTCTGGTCTTCAAGAGCACAGCCAATCACTATAGACTGAAACTTCTGATCAACTGGCCCAGGTGGCAACTCGGAAGAGCAAGCACTGTACAGCGACATTAAATGACTCTTGGCATTTCCCAAATCATCCAGAAATTTATTGACCACCTCATCAATAATCCTTGTGGCATGCTTTAGGGATTCTTGCTGCTGGGGGTTTCTAATTGTTTCAACTGAAACTTCAACAGTGAGGGTTCGTCCCATCAAACGGTTTGCAGTCAGATTTAATTCTTCTCTTTCTCCTAAACAAAAAATTTTGAAGTATCAACGAGAGACATAAACTTATCAATGTCAAGAACACTAAGACATTCATTTGTGGCTAAATCTGTTATTTTCTGTAAGCGCCTCTGCTGTGAGTTTTTTAAAGGTAAAAGCTAAAACTGTAGGACATTAACTGATGGAGTGTAATGGATTACAGAAAGAGGCTGTAGAATACCTTTGCCAGAAAGTCTTTTATACATGGGATACCAGATGACTTCTCAAATATTTGCATGTTTGCTAAAAGTTTGGGTGGGTATGTATTTGTAACTGGGATGGAGATAAAATCTTAATACAGAGAGTGAGCAGTGAGCATAACTGGAGTTTGTGCTGGTTAGAGCTGTGAAGACCAGATGTCCTGGAGCTCCATCAGGTCGTGCATGTTTATACGGTGCCCCTGTGTTGGCTGAGAAAACATGGCCATCGTAGTGGAGAACGAGCTGGCCTCAAAACTAGACATTGACTTCATCCTCTCCAGATAAATTTAAGCAGGTTAGTGGGCTAAATCTTGGCCAGCGCAAAGAAGCAATGATGGGAAAAGGAGCTCAGTCAGCATTTCATTATTTATATGAAACAGCCAGCAATCTCGTTTGTCCTGTTCCTTAACTTCCTTTCTACTTCACTGATGTTTGGCCAAGATGGTGAGGAGATAGACTAGTTCATGAGCCTATTGTGGGTTTGTAACGGTTCTTGTCCGGAGTTAGACTGCATACTTAACCTTACCAGCTACCTGGCCCACTAGCTTGTCCTGTGAAGCACCAAAGGAACAAATTAGGAACTTTAGTGCCCATGAAGCTGGTTTTACAAGTGACCTATTCTTCTGTGGGCAAACATGCTTTTCACATGGAAATGATAAGACATTTTTACATTCGTGGTTTGTTTTTTTGTCTCAATGTATTTTCTCCAGTTCCTCTCTTTTGAGTTACATCCCAATACATCTCCTTTTGTGTTTACTTCTGCATCCAATCTCGAATCTTTTTCTTCTGCTTTTAAATGTCCTGCAGTCCAGTAACTGGCAAAAAACTGAAGTGAGGAGTGTGAACCTGAGGTAAAACACATGGCCTTACTGCGTGGGATCCTGTTCTTCCTGACCATTCAGGCCTTTTTCTATTACTTCCAGCCATTGTCTGGGGGTAGGGAGCATGATGGAGGAATGACCTCTGGGTAAACAGCTGTTGTAATAAACTGACAGCTGCAGCTGCTGCCTGTAGCTCACATTAAATGCTGAAGCCTAATGTACTCATAACCCACCCTTATCATAAACCCCTTAACCGTACGTAAAAGACGTGCCCCCTTGTGTGGAAATGGCTCTCACCATCGCTGATCTGCCTCATGTCCTGGCTATTTTGGATACTGTGGATCATTTCCAGGAGGATTTCTTTCTCTTGCTCCACAGCACTGGCTGCTTCTCTCAAAGCTTCAACCCTGGATAAATTGGGAAAATGAGAGTATTATATGAAGGATGTTCTTTTATTAAACTTCCTTATCTCTGTATCATTCAATCCAACTCAAGTTTAAAGAGCATTAGGAACATTTTTTAAAAATAACTTAGTCCTTTTTATTCTTTTCATCTATTTTTTTATCCACTTATCCCCCTCCCATTTTACTCCCCACTTATAGGACAATTGTTCTCTCTAATGTTTACCTATTTGTATCTATTACAAAATCTCTATTACTTGTGTTTGTGTATTTTTATTGTTTTTCACTCATTTTTTTATCAGGAACCATCCATGTTCCTATGTGTACACCTAATCAGTAGCTTCTAGCTGCTGCATAATACTCCAGGTGTGTATCCATCTGATTTCACCTCTCTACCATCCCACTGATGGTCACCCAGGTTGTCCCCAATCACCAAACAAGCTTTAGCGAGTGCAAGTTCCCTTATGGACCTGAGTGAGAATTTTCTTCGGATACATACTCAGGGCAGAATTGCTGGGACACAAAGTGTGCATTATCCTGAATTCGACTTAGTACTGCCAGACTGTTCTTCAGAATGGCTGTACCAGTCCATACTCCTAGCAGCAAAGCATGGGAGTCCCTGTATCCCCACATCTCTACTAATACTCAGCATTTTCCAACTTTCTATTTGTTGCCAGTCTAATGGGTGTACAGTGATATGTCAGTATTTAATTTGCATTTCTTTTATTACTAATAATTTTGGACATCTCTTCATATCCTTGTTAGCCTGTTCATAGTTTTTGCCTATTTTGTCTTCCTTAAATAGGGGTTACTGTCTTCTTGTTATGAAACCCTGCTGGTGTAGTGGTTAAGCGCTTGGCTAGTAACCGAAAGGTCGGCAGTTTGAACCCACCAGCCGCTCTGTGAGAGAAAGATGTGGCAGTCTGCTTCCATAAAGATTACAGCCTGGGAAACCCTATGGGACAGTTCTACTCTGTCCTATAGAGTCGCTATGAGTTGGAATCGACTTGATGGCAATGGGTTTGGTTTTTGGGTCCTCTAGTTAATTTGTAGGCATACTTTGTATACTCAATTATTCCCTTACTGGTTTCAGGAATTGCACCCATCTTCTCCCATTTTATCATGTGTTAATTTTGTCTGGGATGCCCTTCACTGAGTAGAGATCCTTATTTGATATGATCGAATTCATCTTCTTTTTTTCTTTTTCTTTGCCGAATGTTCATGCTTTTGAAGTTTATTTAAGGGTCTTCCCCACCCCGATTGTTGCTGTTAGCTGCCATTGAGTCAGCCCCCAACTTATGGCGCCCCCGTACACAATGGAATGAAACAATGCCCAGTACTGCGTTATCCTCATGCTTGGTTGCAGATCAGAACTTTGTGATCCTCAGGGTTTTTACTGGCTGATTTTTAGAAGTAGATTGCCAGGCCTTTCTGCCTAGTCTGTCTTAATCTGGACACTCCATTGAAACTTATTCATCATCATAGCAACATGCAAGCCTCCACTGACAAATGGGTGATGGCTGTGCATGAGGTGCATTGGCTGATAACTGAACTCAGGTCTCCCACATGCAAGGCAAGAACTCTACCACTGGAACCACCACTGTCGTCATTCCCTATCCCTAGGTCATAAGATATTCTCCTACATTTTCTTCTACTAACTCTATAGTTATATTTGTCATATTTATGTCTTTAATCTATCTAGACTCCAACCTTACATGTGGTTAGGCAGATTTTTTTTCTCCGAATAGTGACCCTCTTTCTCCAACATTATCTACCCAGCAATCCACCTTTTCCCCAATGATTTATATATTAAGTCTACCTCTGAAATCTCTATTCCGTCTCTTAGTGTGTGTGTATATACACACACAAACACACACACACACAGAGCTTTCGATGAAAGTTTATAGAGCAGATTAGTTTCTCATTAAAAGTTAATACACAAATTGTTTTGTGACATTGGTTGCCAACCCTGCGATGTGTCAACACTCTCCCCTTCTCCATCCCGGGCTCCCTGTTTCCATTTGTCCAATTTTCCTGTCCCTTCCTGCCTTCTTGTCTTTGCTTTTGAGCTGGTGTGCCTATTTAGTCTCATATACATGACTGAACTATGAAGCATATTCCTCACGCGTGTTGTTTGCCCTATATACCTGTTTAATCTTTGGCTGAAGGGTGAAACTTGGGAGTGACTTCAGTACTGAGTTAAAAGGGTGTCCAGGGGCCACACTCTTGGGGTTTCTCCAGTCTGTCGGACCAGCAAGTCTAGTCGTATATTTTTTTTTCTTGTTAAAGGAATTTTTTTTTAATATTGGGCATTAAGTGAAAGTATACAGAGCAAATTAGTTTCCCATTCGATAGTCTGTACATAAAGTGTTCCATTCCCGACAATGTGTCAGCACTCTCCCTATTTCTACCCTGGGCTGCCCATTTCCTTTCGCCCTGATTTTATACCTCTTCCTGCCTTCTCATCTTTGTTTTTGGGCAAGAAATCGCCCTGTTGATCTCGAATACTTGATTGTTTAAAAGTATGTTCCTCTCGGGTATTATTTTTATCGTATGTGCTTGTCTATTGTTCGGCTGTGAGGTTGGTCTCCAGGAATGGCTTCAGTTCCACGTCAGAAAAGTGTCTTAGGGCCACATTCTCAGGGGTTCCTTCAGTCTGTCAGACCAGTAAGTCTGGTCTTTTTTGTGATTTTGATTTTATGTTCTACATTTTTCTCCCACTCTGTTCAGGACCCTCTGTTGTGATCCTAGTCAGAGCAGTTGGTAGTGGTAGCCAGGCACCATATAGTTCTTTTGGTCTCAGGGTTGTGTAGACTGGTTCACGTGGTCCATTAGTCCTTTGGACTAACTGCTCCCTTGAGTCTTTGGTTTTCTTCACTCTGTTCCAGACAGGAAGAGACCAATAGTTGTATCTTAGATGGCTGTTAACAAGATTTTCAGACCTCAGACGCTACTCACCAAAGTAGGATGCAGAATATTGTCTTTATGAAGTATGTTGTGCCAACTGATGCAGATGTCCCCAGGTCTATGGTCCTTTGTCTTCTAGCCTAGGAACTTCACCCCACAAGGTGCTTGGTTATGTCTAAGAGGTTTCCCTGGCTGTATCCCTTGTGTGCTCTACATGAGCTGCAGCTACAGACATGTATGTAGGAATATCCACCACCAAACCTGTATCTGCCTGTCGGTGTGTTCCCTCACATCCTCCCACACCTCTTGGTGTATCTATCTTCCACCGTAAATTATTGCTTGTTAATACTATTGTTGCAGAATTGTCTAAGTGATAGTGGTTGCCGTAGTTACCCTTTATTTTTGTGTTCATCTCAGTGTCCTCTCTTGCCTTGGTCATGTAGTGCTGACTTCCCCTATGTTATGTATTATCTTTCCCTTCACCAGTATTAACTCATCTCTTCTAATTGTAATTTTCCCTTCCTGTCCCTTCCCCATTAGTATATTTGATGGCCTTGCACCAACATGTTCTTTTTATAGCACCAGTCTTATAATATGCCATAATATTTGGTAGAGCAAGCCCCTTAATCTTCTTTAAAGATAATTTAGCTATGTATGGACCTTTATTCCTCTATAGAAACTCTAGGTGAAGTTTATTTGGTTTCTCAAAAATTTGAGGGAAATTTGACCTTTTTATAATACTGTCATTCCATACAAGGGCATGGTATATCTATTTACTCAGATCCCCTACTATGTTCTTTATTAGAAATTTGAAGTACTTTTCATAATGGTCTTGTGGACTCTTGAATGTTCTACTTTTATAGATCTTGTTGCTGTTGTGAATAATATATTTTTATTACATTTTGTAGCTGATTATTGCTGGTTAGAGAACTGTATTTTTGTAGGTTCATCTTGTAACTGGCAACCCTGACTCATTAATTTTAATGGCTTGTCTGTTGATTCTATTGGTTCTTCTAGGTTGATAACCACATCATCTGCAAAAAATGATAGTTTTTATCTCTTTTTTTCCAATCGTATTATTTCTTGTTTTCTCTGTATGGTACCAACGTCCTCTGGTAATGTGTTAAACACAGCGGTGATAGGGGCATCTTTGTCTTTTCCCAAATTTAAAGGGAATGCCCCATGTTTTTGCTAGAAAGCCCTGATCAAACTATAGAAGCACTACTTTCCCTACCCCACTCCCAAGTATACACACACATGCACTTACTACACATACACATTCACATATCCAGTCACTAACGAACTAGGCGGAGGAATCATGAGAGCAAGAGAAAAAAAATATGTATTTAAAGTGCTCTATTTTCAGGGCACTTTCATGTTATGATTACAGTAACTAAATAAGTTGCCAACTTTTGCAAAATGAAATAGTGACAGACCTAACCCCAGTATTTGGATGGTTCTGGAAACATGAGATCATGGAAGATCTAATCCTGACTGATGCCTTAAGTGGGCACAGACGGAACAACTTCACCAATGTTTTAGCATGTGTCCATTCCATATATGGATCCCCCCAACCCCAACCATGCATATGCCTTTCCCCATCAGTCATCCACCTGTTATACTCCAAAATAGCACCAATAAGAGTGTAAAATCACAAGATCTCTTTATTCTTTAAAATACTAAATATATGCCCAGCTTTGTACATAAGAGCCAGTAAGCAGAACGCTATTAAGAATCTCATGTTACAAATGTGTTTGGAAAACACAACAAAAACAATATTCTATAAAATAGTAGTAGTACAATATCAGGCCATCTTCCGGCACCATTCATTATGTACTTACATGTTTTACATTAGCAAAGTCTCAGATGAACTAGGGCCCAGTGCATATGAAGGAGACTGAGTTGGCACTAATATGAAATATTTATGCTAAAAACAAACCATGGCTCTAATATTTAATGACACCCATGAGTAATGTGATTGGTAAATGAGAAGATGCTGAAAGAAGAGATTAATTTTTCAACACTTGAGTTTGTACTAAAATGTAGGAAGTAAAGGAGAACTGAATGTTCACAAAGGCTTCATTTACAACAGTAAGTTC